TGTGCAATTCAAGACCAATACAAATTTGTAATGAAACCATCAGAACCAATACAAAACTGTAATGGAAACCATTAAAATACAGACCCAATACAAATTTGTAATGGAAACCCTTAAAACCAATAAATCCTAATGGAATATGGCCCAAAACACACTACGTAATGGACTCCACTTGGTAATGGTTTTAATGGTTAACGGCTGGTGGTTTGTAATGGTTTTGTAGTGGAAACCATTAGGAATTCTGTAATGGTTTCTATTGTTTTTTTCAGCAGGGCAAACTTTGAGCACGTTTTGGAGACGGAGCAGTTTGGCGACACCGATGGTGAGCTGGAGCTAAATGTCTTTTTGGTCACTTTTAGACCGACATTCTAAAGAAAATCATACATACAGTATACAGAAAGATAATAAAAATATAATTTCACTCACCATTACAATCTTCATTCTAATCATAAATACAGTGTTCTGTGAAAAATGTTCACAATAACAGTTTAAATAAATAAAACTATGTTTTACTTCTGATATAAACATTTAGATTAAATATGCCATTCTGATGAATGGAGTTAGACACTTAAATTACATGAAATCATTACTGAGAAGTTACAACATTTTTTTATATTCAATGAATAGAAATATTTGTTGTGGATGCAATGCTTTCAAACACTTTCCCTCTGTCATGCTGTGTTTTAATGTGTTAACTACAGAGATAATTGCTTGTCATGATAGTAGCAGATTGTCTGAGAAAATAGTTTCGTGCAAATAATGCACAACAAGGTCTATCTGTTTCCATTAAAAATATAAATCAATTAAAAATACTCTTTGGCCAGTGGAAAAGATTGAGAAAAACTTTCTCTGAAATGTATTTTACACTATTTGATTTATTTATTCAAAAACAAGGCAAGGATATGGGCTACTAAATTATTTTTTATTAATGTAACTAATGTGACGGCACATCCGTATTTCATATTTTCCAAATGTCTTGTACCGTTAAACATATGTTATCACGTGGATGAATAATCATATGCAAATGATATGCAGATGAGGATATGCATAGTAAAACTAGGCGTTGTAAGCTCCATATATGGTTATTTCGGGGAGGAGACGCAAGTGCGCACATTCTTCCGCTGACTGGGATTTATAAAGTGAATTCTGCGCAGGTTCTGGCGTACGCACGGTTTTATAAGTCAGAATATTTGTTTGCGTACGTCATTTTTGGCTTTCGGATGCACGTACACTTTTAGTAAGGATTCTACGCACAGTTTTATAAATGAGACCCCAGATGTGGACCGAGACTATGTTGCTGTCTGGGGCAGATCTGGGGAACTATGTTAGGCGCTTTGGAGGAACCCTCGATGAGTTTGTTGTATATATACACAACATTAAACTGACAGGTGAAGTGAAAAACATTGATTATATCGTTACAACAGCACCTGTCAAAGGGTGGGTTATATTAGGCATCAAGAGAACAGCTCTTGAGATCCATGTGTTAGAAGCAAAAAAATGGGCAAGCGAGATCTGAGGGACTTTGACGGGGTCAGATCATCTCCAAAACAGCAAGTCATGTGGGGTGTTCCTAGTATGCAGTGGTTAGTAATACAAAGACCTCTTCACACATTATGAGTATATGTATCAGGTTTTTATTATAACTTATAGAATATGCCTGGAACAAAATGGCATGAACTTTGGAATGTAAACAATTCCATCACACTCTTATAATCAGCTTTTCGCAAACTGGGATAACCCGTCGAAAAGACAATAATGCTATTAAGCAGGCCACAACAATACAACAAATAAATAAAAAAAATAATAAAAAAAAGGTCTGCAGTTGGTTGTTCCCACAGTCAAGAAAAGAGTTTTTCAATAAATATTCAACTTTGGGTGATGAATTGCCTTTTTGTGCAACAGCAGAGGATGTGCAGGGTATTCATTAAAAAACATCAATGCAATCTGTTGGTATAAAAAAAAGCAACACAATTTAATTAATGTTGCCAGAAGATGTTTGAGGTAATACATGAAAGCAGTTTAGACAGATGGGCATAAAATACAATCATTCAAACGAGAGCCTAAGAGGTAATGACAATGACTAAAGAACACGACGGCACAAAGCTGAACATCGAAGAAGCCATATATCAGTATCACCAAATCAAGGAATGAAGTCCACATTAATGGATAGAGAAGCAGAAATAAAATGAAACAGGCATTAAGATGTAGCCTATATAAATTGTTATGTATTCATTCCAGGGCTGTGGAGTTTGAATATGGCTATTTAGACTGTGAATGCCGTTTTTGTCTCACACCATGTCGTTATTTTACTGCAGACGATTCCGCAAAACGTAATGGAACAAAAATGCTGATAATACTCCTCTAATAAATGATCTGTTTGTAGATTTGTCCTTTTTTGACAAACTTTTAATAGGTAATTGATTTGATGGTTACAATTACAGCTACACATGAATTGTCACAACATCTGGAACCTAACAATAGCTAACACCACTATAACTGATTCTTTCAAGTACTGTAGTTCTGTTCAGGGGTACAAAAACAATGGTTATGCTTACATAAAAGTTATATTAATCTTTCTGGCTGCTTTATTTTCTGATAAAGTGGCATTCTGTGATCGATCCCATTTTCTTCCCTCCAAGTAACAATCATTTTCTAAATCTGTTAGTATGAATTCCAGTTTCGGGTTGGTCATATGGTTTAGAATATTTCAAATTTCAAATTCAAAGTGCTCACACTATTAACCCGGCACGTCATCACTTTCACCACTTACTGAAATCAAAGCAAATCAATTAGAAATAAAAACATGATTGAATGTTTTTACATGACCAAGCATTGATATTTATATATATATATATATTAATATTAATATTTATTTTTTACTGTATATTGCAGGTTAATGCTATGCATTAAATAAGACCACTGCAAGGGTTTCATAAAAAGTCACTAAAACTATTTAACTGACCGATCACATGATGAATGGAAAGCTGATAGTCTTCCAGTGCAAAGCTTAGGAAAAGAGGAATTGCACATGATTAATATGAAACCAACCAACACAGAGCACTGGAAGTGCTCTGATAAAAAAAAAGTGCATTACATATGTCAGATTCTTTAAAAAGGCTTGACGTTAAACAAAATAGAACATCAACAGCTTAATACTAAACATTAGCGGTTACTTTTTTATCATAATAATGGTGCAACGGTTGCTCAGTCTAAAAATGAAAGGCAGCAAGCAGTAATCCAGAGCACTCAGATCTAATAACATCTACAGCAGAACAGTTGAAAAGGCAACATGATATATAATGCTTTAGCACAAACATGCCATCATCATAGACATCTCTTTTTATAGAAATAAATAGTTGAAATAAACTGTACTCTGTGTTTAAATTATATTTCCATCTCTATAGGACTCTGATACACATTCAATATAAAGCATCTATCATACACAGCATACTGCAAATTCGATACCTTTGAACTCTGGAAGTCACCACACGGGAAACCATTTGCAGGCGGATACCCGTTAAACGCTTCAGGTTATCTCTTTCTTGGTTATATTTCAAATATGTACACCGTTTTGTAATTCCTTTCCTATAGAAACAACATATACACACAGTTTTTTTTTTTAAGTCTTTAGAAGACAAGAGTGCCAGCACACTCGAAAAGTCATTGTGTGGGGTTGTGGGTAGGTTGCCCTATCCCACCTCAGAAACTTCTTTCTTGAAGATGGTCTTGCAGTTTCCATTGCCTCTTTTTGAACAGCCACCCTGAAGTAACCTTAGGCAGTTCATGTGAATACTCCTCTCATGCTAATTCAAGCCCTGTAATGCGTTTTAAGACAGGAAGTAGAACGCTGCACCGTAGAAGTGCTCGCCTTGACTAAAGCACTTAGAGTAGACCGTTTAGACCGTGTGATTTCAGCTCGGAGGCTGGCCAAGGGGAGCAGAAATGCCTGATGGGTAAGTGGTACAGCACCGAGAGCGGTCAAGACCATTACTTGCATCAGTATTATTGCATCAGCATGTTTAAAAAAAAAAAAAGAAACTTGATGAGAATGGCATATTCTAGTTTCTTTGTATGATTGACTTCTAGCTAAAACCATTTAAGTGCTCTAACATTCATTTCCAGACTTTCCTAACCATTGAGATGAATGTTCCAACAGAAAGCAAAACCTGACATGTCATGCGATCTACTCAAAAGTGCACAAAAACATAACTGGAAATAAACCTTTTCTCTTTGAAAAACTAAAATGTTAACTTCTCAATGCTGGCCTTGACAAAACACGGCTATGAATATTAAATTCAATCTCAGCTGTGCAGAATCATTTAACATTTTCTAGTCTGACTGCACCAGCCTTATATGGCTATTGTTAAATTACTTTTACATTTTAAAGGTCAAAGCCAAAACCTAACCCACACACTTCCGAAGTCCAGTTCTTATAGATTCTTTGAAGAACCTAAAGTGACACCTGTATATATTTGTTTTCACCCCTTCTATACAATTGTGCAGTGTGTACATTCAGAACTCAGAATCCAAATTCTCCATTCAGTGGTGTCTACCTTTAGAACATGGACAGTACCATCTGAAATCAACAGAGCAGATGGGGAAGTGATCTATTCAGCCCCACCAGCCTGAGTTCCATAAAATTTCATCAGAAGTTTGAACGGTAAGAGATGGAGACGTTGATATCTGAGGTGAAACAGTAGGTGTAGATTGGGGCGACAGCACCATGAGCATGTCTCTATCCCTTACTACGTGAATTTGCTCTTCAATTCCCTTTAGATAAGTGCACACCTTGTAGGGTATGACTTAAGACCTTTTAGGCTCCACTGATTCACTAATGGCACATTGGGAATGACCAAAATTCAACCTCGAAAACAAAATGTCGAAGCTATGGATGGCACATTATGGAGAAGGCATTGGAAATCAGTCTGGAACAACAGATCCAATGATGAGAAATAATCTCTTGCCAGAGAGACCCTGGTCATGGAAATACGGCTAAAGGACTGGAGGGTCTGACACGAATGAGGCAGCGGAGCTTGCGTTTATTGGCTTCTTCGTTTGGTCTGAACTCGTACTTATGGACACAAGATAGCTGCAAGTAATAGTAGTTTCTATGGAGACATCCCCTAGATCCCCTAAAGAAGGGTCTCGGTAAGCCATGTTTGAAGCTGGTGATCATGTTATGTTGAAACTGTCCAAGAAATATGGCTGGCCGAAGCATCCAGACGACTAATGAACTAATGCGTCTCTTTGCTGAACATCGGGGAAGCAATTGAGCTGATCACACAAACACACACTCCCCCATTAATAACTTACCCATGTGCATTTTAAATTTGTGCTGTTTGGATTTCACATTGATTGTATGTTTCAGGTCAATCTGGAATATGAGACTGTTCCCTCCTGCAGCTCTGTGCTCTGAAGAGAGACGTCATGTTCTCCGAGATCTCATTAAAGTTTAGTGCGTTTGGCAAGTAGGAGAAAAATCCTTAGTCTGTAATCGTAACTGGTTTTGAATTGGGTCTGACTGTTGGAACGGGATCCAAGGCAAGTAATCATGCCTTCTCGTAGAGTTTGTTACGTATTATCTTTATAATCTCCACTATTTAGTTGCGTCGTGTCAAAGCTAACAGATGGCGCCCGTCTTGGTGTGGTAGACTGGTGTTTAGAGTTCAAACTGAAGCGGAAGTGTTTGATTCTTCCTCGTTTCATCAAGGAGAGAGTGACTCGATCAGGTTGAATTATTCGGTGAACCTTCGTGTGGCTCTGGCCTCGACACAGCAGAGTTAGCATAAGCCATCTGCTTTCACATGGAGGATTTTGGAGAACCCAGGTCTTTTCTTGAGTGCCTGAGAGAAGGCAGCAGAAAGGATATGAATGAACAGGTGTTATATTTCTGGAAATATGAATGTTGTAAAAATTGTAATGGTTCAAAACGTCTAGGGCTATGAACGTAACCCTGGTTCCTTGAGAGGGAAAGAGATGCTGGGTCATGATGTCATGACGCTTTGGGAATGCCCCCAGCGTGACCAGTGCCTGAAGCACGTGTGCAAACATGCCAATTTAAATTGGCCACGGTAGAGGATGAGCGTCCATAAAATACGTCATCAGCTTCAGGTTGTCTGAAGTAAGACGCAGTAGGTATGCCTGGAGTAAGGCAGGGAGATGCAGCATCTCGTAGTACATCTTGGTATTCAAGCACAACAGACAAATGGTCTTACTGAAGGCCGCAAAAGCTGATGACTTATTGTATGGGCGCTCCTTTTATAGCCCATACCAGTGCACCAAGTGACGTCATCCTCTACTGTGGCCAATTAAATTGGCGTGTTTGCACACGTGCTTCAGGCACCGGTCACACTGGGTGTGTTCCCAAAGTGTCATGACATCATGACGCAGAGTTCAAAGTTCACTACAGAAGATGGTAAAAATTAACAAAATTACAAAGAGTATTAGTTGGTTTGATTTTGCGGGACATTTCAGGATATCAACTAACATAAAAAACAACAACAACGATAGTGTTGTTATTGTTAATAGAACGTCTCGGTTATGTATGTAACCCTCGTTCCCTGAGTAGGGAACGGAGACGTTCCGTCGAATGATGACGAAATGGGGTTTCGCTTAGAAAGCCTATCAACTTCGGGTATATTACAAAACGAGCCAATGGCAAAGAAATTAATTTTGAATAGAGTGACTTCGCCCCACCTCGTGGGTATATAAGGAAGTACGCTGGCAATATGCAGATATGCTACTTGCTGAGGAGCCAAGACTGAACTCAGGCTGTTCCAGCGGTACAGCGAAAGTGGCAGGGACACGTAACGTCTCCGTTCCCTACTCAGGGAACGAGGGTTACATACGTAACCGAGACGTTCCCTTTCGTAGTCACTTCGAGTTACGTCGAATGACGACGAAATGGGGTTCCCAGTCTTATCACGCCACCCCGGCTGTCTTCCAGTGCCCTGCGTAAGTCTGAGCTCCCTGTCGTGAGACTAGCACGGACGAAGGACTCCTACTTAACACAGGAATACCAAGGTACACTGGGAGCATATCTCAGTGGAAATATGCAATTATTGCCTGCCCGAAGGGAGGGGACTTACAGAATACACATATGACCCAGAGGGGCTGCGAGAAACACTGGGGTGTCCAGCCAGCAGGGTAGAATGTTTCAACCCCAGGAGTGGCAAGGTGGCTTGCCAAGGGAAAGACACATGCTCGGAGAGGCTTACAGTGGAAATACACATGTGGGGGTCACCAGTGGGGAACCAAGCACACGGAGGCACCTAGCCAATGCGAAAAAGGCTAGCTCACCGGGAAAGCTCACCTGAGGAATATATCGCAAGTATCCAGTCCCTAGAGTGGAATGGCGAGCAAGCGAAGACACCTAAGCGGGTCCTAGCACCGGCTGGTTGAAGCGAGTACATGGGAGGACACTGGCTCCACCCGGAGATTGTAGAATCTGGCGAATGTGTTGAGTGTCGCCCAGCCTGCAGCTCTGCAGATGTCTGTTAGCGAGGCACCATGCGCTAGATCCCAAGAGGAAGCCACACTCCGGGTGGAGTGAGCTTTCACGCCAAGGGGGCACGGTCGACCTTGCTGCTGGTATGCCAAAGCAATGGCGTCCACTATCCAGTGAGACAGCCTCTGCTTGGAGAGAGCCTTTCCCTTCAGCTTCCCACCATAACAAACAAAGAGCTGGTCTGAGGTCCTGAAACACTGCGTTCTGTCTACGCAAGCACGGAGGTCGCGTACTGGATAGAGCAATGCCAAGGCTGGGTCTGCCTCCTCCAGGGGGAGCACTTGCAGGTTCACCACCTGATCTCGAAAGGGAGTGGTGGGAACCTTGGGCACACAGAGATGTTCTTGAGTCAGTTCTTTGGAGAAGAGGTTCTCCCCCGGCCCTCCACCGGGGGAAGGAGTGGCCCTGCAACCACTTCCTGAAAGAACTGCAACCCATCTCTGAGCTGCCCGTAACGGGAGCGCCACATCGCCTGGCGTTTGGCAGACTGCGGGACTGGTACGGGCTGGGGCGCCTTCCTGCGACCACCTCCACGGTGCGGCGCGGTGCTGCTGGGGGCGGAAGTCGCAGGAGGGCGCGTTCGGCGGCAAGCGGACCGATGCGTCTGAGCCGGCGGCTGGGTGGCAGCAGCTGGCCGCGGGGTCAGAACATGTTTGGTAGCCTCAGTCTGCTTCTGGGCGGCCGAGAACTGTTGGGCAGAGTCCTCGACCGCGCCGCCGAAGAGGCCAGCCTGGGATATGGGGGAGTTGAGGAAGCGGGTTCGCTCAGCCTCGCGCATATCAACCAGGTTAACGTGACACAGGGAGCGTGCGGTCACCTTCGTCGCGGTGGAAGAGGCCGCTGAGCAGTCGCAAAAAGTCAAAGGAGACTCCCACGATCTCATGACCTCTTCATGCACATCCCGGTAGAAAGGATTTGGGCTCGCCTCCCCCAAAAACCAATCATCAGCCTTGAGTGCTCGGGACATGGGACAAGCCCGATACTCGCGGCGGCCCGGGAAAGCATAGCTGTCAACTCTGGATCAGACTCGTTATGCTAGCACACCCAAGAGTGGCAGCACAGATGAGCCCTCATCTCCAGAGGACTCCAGCTCACCTTGTGATGCGGCGATAGACATGATTTCATCAGCCGGGGAACCGAATGAGATGCCGGGCCTCGAGGATATTTTGTCGGTTTAGTTCCACACCAGACGCCTCAGGTCACCCTGGCCACCAGCCAAAGTATTCTCTCGCGAGGAGAAAATAGATCGGGGTGTGGATGAGGGGACTCTCGCTCTATTGAGCTCATCGAGTCTTGACCGTTACATTGCGATGGTCATGTTCACGCTGGGAGAACATGACGCATCAACGAATGCTGTCTGAGCGTGATCGAAGCCCAAACACGTCAAAACAGCGTTCGTGCCCATCAGCTGACTCTATCAGACTACCGCACTCAAAAATACACGGGCAGATCGTCTTTAAAAAGACGTGCCGTGTGCACGTCTTTTTGTGAGAGAAAAGCTCGCAGCAGTGCTGAAGCGCCCAGGGAGAAACACACACGCTGTTCAGTTCAGCTCGCTGGAACTCGCCAAGAGGAGTTCTTGGCTCCGAAGCAAAAACATATCTGCATTTTGCCAGCGTACTTCCTTATATACCCACGAGGTGGGGCGGAGTCACGCTATGCAAAATCCGCAGACCCATGGCATTTCTTTGCCATTGGCTCGTTTTGTAATACTCGAAGTTGATAGGCTTTCTAAGCGAAACCCCATTTCGTCGTCATTCAACGTAACTCGAAGTGACTACGAAAGGGAACTAAAGCTACTAAAAATTTATTTCGGTAATTGAAATAACCTGAAAAATTTGTAAATGTAATTCATTTGTAAATGGAAATGATGCTGAAATAAAATAAAATACAAACATTAGATAAAATACTTCAACTTGAAATATTTAACTAATAAAGAGGACACAAATGTATTAAATAAAAAGAAAATATAAAGATAAAAGCTTATTCAAAATATGATTAAATACTACAATAGTAAATAAACAACACAAAAACAACACTGAACAATGCGAAAGTAACTTGCAATTTTATGTTTCAACCACAGCTGGCGATAGAGAGGCCAAAGTTCCATAGTGCATTGTTAAATTTAAATTACAATTACAATTCCACATTATGCTGCAACATCAATACAAATCAAACTGAACTGGAATTTAAAAGACATTCGAAAACGGATGACGAAAGCGGCTTGTAAATGTACTATTCTATTTTATTTTCGTTGACGTCTGTAATGAACTGCTTGCTTTGTTTCTAAATTTAACAATGCACTATGGAACGTTGGCCTCTCTATATGTGGTTGAACAATGTGAAAGTAACTTGCAATTTTGTTTCAGTGTTATTGTAAGTATCTTTGGATAAAAAGAGGTAACATGCATGTCAACGAAGCATTTAAGAGACATAATTTGATATTTTAAAATATCTCTGGATGATCATAATCTGAGCTTGAATTTTGATGGGTTCAACTGATCATCTGTTAAAGGGTACTTTGATTTTATTTATTTTTATTTTAAATGAACAAACCACATGGAGGAGCCAAATCACTGAGATGATATTGATCTGAACATTTATGGACACTATAAATCTGCTTCCACACTGAGGTGGAAATAAACCGTGGGCAGAATCTGAACAAGTACAAAATATTTTTGAGCCTCTTATGAAAATGATATACGATGAGCAATGCCCTCTGTCATCTACAGCAGCCCGTTTCGGCACAGCTTGTGTAAGATATCCTGCAAGTAACTTAAACAGGAGTTTTAATGTGGGTGGGTGTAACCCCACTTCCACTTCCTCTCCCAGCTTATCTAGAGTCAGAACAGAGAAGAGGCAGCTTCCTGCATCCTCAAAGCAGGCAAATGGATGAGATGAATCACTTGCATTTGACTCATGGTTCTTCAACACGGCAGCTGTGAGAGGTTCTTCTGCTTTCACTTACTCATCTTAAACGCTGTCTCAGACACAGGAAACCCCATGGCCTAAGACTGAATTACTACTGAACAGCTTTTGCTGGTAATTTTAGTCTGGCAGATGGATGGGTCAAATTTTTGATGTCCTCAGATGTCTCAAAGACTTATTTATGGCGATGATTCCATACCTGCAGCTTGTTCACCATTTCGTCAAAGAGTTTTCTGGCCTCAGGGCTGTTGGGGTCTTCAAAGTAATCTTCTATACCGATCTGGACTACAATAGATTTCAGGTTACGACACACACCTGTGAAGAGGGCGAAGCAGGCAGTGAGTAAGGGAGCGAGGTTAGAGGGCCATTTTACAGGAAGTGTGGGAGTATTGCATCTCATTCATAGCTCCAAATCTAAAGATACTACCAAATCGGAATTTACGATCATGGAGTTTTCCTACAACTTTATGGACACTTTATAAGTCTCATTTGAAGTTAATTTCAAATACAGGAGAATATTCATTAGTATCTTGATTTTATTTAAGTGCCCCTATTATACTTTTTCGAATATTACCTTTCAATGTGAAGTGTAATATAGCGGTTTGTGAATGTAAAAGGTCTGCAAAGTTTTAAAGATCGAAGTGCGAACTTTGACCCGCCCTCAAACACCGTAGTTGTAGCTGAGGCCTGGAAGAGTTTGGTTGGTGTTGTCGACATGTTGGGAAGGCGCTATTTTCAGCGCTGCGAATCCACTTCCAAAGGATGAGGACTCGCGCTGGAATTGATATGGAGAAACCGAGGCCAACGTTCATATCACTGTGTATCAAGCACTGAAGAAGCTCCGGAGCTGCGTTTCGTTTCTGACAATTGACCAATCACAACAGACTGGGCCATCTGACCAATCACAGCAGAGTAGGGTCATGGGAAGGAGGGGTTTAGAGAAATTCTTCAAACAAACCATTTTCAGACTCAGGGTTCCAGACTGCGACCAAATTGGTCGCATATGCGACGATTTTTTGAGAATGTGCGAGTTAAAATGTTATGTGGTCGCATTTGTGCGAGTGGACGCTTGAGCAACAGAACGCCGTTGTATCAGCTGCTGCAGTCCGTAACTTATGTTCAAAATGAACGAGTAGGCTACATCATGAATCCATTTTCCAAACCGTGTTTTTGACTTATTCTGAATCACTACGGTACGCCTATAATAAGTGTTTATATTCGGACTATTTTATCCTGGGGTCGTCTCGGCTGCGGAGTAGCCCAGTGCCTGCGTGACTCGCCTTAGACATTAACGGAGAGAAGTTCCGTCTACAATGTTCTTCCGCAAGACACGTGCAGTTTCTGGTTTATTTATTGACGAACGTAGATGTCACGCGCATTGCACACTGATGGTTAAACGCGCCAATTACAAATTCACGAATTAAAGCATATAAAAATAGTCTCACGAAACACAGAGCCCCTTCCTCCTACGTCTTTTCAGCGGTTATATTTTAAAAGGAAATTATTATAAAATGCAGAAGGTAAGGAGTGTGAGATTTCTGCTTTTTGTTACAACTATAAACTTTGATAACGAAAAATATGTATCAGTTTATTATAATACTCTAATCTTTTAAAATGTAATGCATACATTTGAATGTTTAATGATTTTTAAAATATAGAAAGATGATAATAGACAGAAAGATAGATAGATAGATAGATAGATAGATAGATAGATAGATAGATAGATAGATAGATAGATAGATAGATAGATAGATAGATAGATAGAATATGATTCAAATGTAAATAGATAGATTGTATATAATTCAAATGTAAAATGCTTAAAATTACAGATTAAAATTACTGTCCAAAATCCATGAAAATCCTGAAATTTGCCAATGATAATTAATATATTACAGGTATTTATGCTGCAACCCAGAAAGCCTTTGCTAGCCTTGGTCCATTAAAACCACTATTCATCAGCATGCATTGATTAATCCCATGGCATGTAGCAAAAAAAAAAAAAAAAAAGGTGCGACCAAATCATATGCTGGTGCGACCAACTGAGAAAGTTGATAGCACCAGTGCAACCAGTGGAGAAGTTAGTCTGGAGCCCTGAGACTCTTTGAGAAATTAGGTGATTCTGCAATGTGTATTATGAGAAAATTAAAGTGTTTTTTTTTACCTTGGATGCATGTGAATCTGTTGTACGAGACCTCCAAATCCAAATTAGGAACCTTAATAATAGGGGCACTTTAAATGCATGATTTAATAGCTCTTCTTTTGACATCAGGCTTTCATTTGGTTGATACTTGGTTTAGATGTAACCATGCACAAATAGAACTACTGTTCACTAAAATACTAAACAATAATAATGAATCAGAATCTGAATCAGTGAGTGTGGACTCACTATTGAAGTGAAGCAGGGCTTTAGGAGTAACAGGTGTGGAGGTGAGCACCAGCATCTCCAGACCCTTCAGTCCCTCTCGGCACATCTCAGCAGCCACTTCCTGATTTATCTCACTGACGTGGTCCAACTCAAGCACCTGCAGCCGCATGCAGTTCCTTGCTGAAGATATACACACACAAAGATAGTTATTACAGTCTTTGTGGAGAACGCACACAACAAAGAATGTCTATTGCCACACTGGTAGACGGCTGCATTACTGATGATGTTTAAGGAATAGTTCACCCAAAATGATGAATATTCTATTCACCATAAAAAAGGCTACATACTACATGAGAATTATGTTTAGGTGGGCACGAGAAGAGAAAAACATGCCTAATATAGTGCACATGTAATATGAACACATTGCATGCGTTTAAAGTGCTTTGTCATTTTGAAATAACTGTAAGATGGTTTGAGAAAAACAAGTAAAATTACAAATTCAAAAACCATTCTGTTTTTCTTCCTGATTCAGTCTTCTGAGTGCTCTATGTAAAGTTCATATGAAACCTTGTGATTTAGAAAGGTCAAAACCATTATATGTAGATGAAATGGTACAGTAAAGTGGGTTAAAAACAGAACGCATAACATAAAATGTCTCTTTCCTTCTTCAAAACATTTATTTATAGTACAATATGCCTCCAGAAGCATGTTAAAAGTGTCATTCCCGGTGTCACTTTGTCCCAGTTTTCAATGTGAATAACAAGTTCTTGTCTATGCTAGATAGATAATAGGGTTGAGTGATGTTGCCTCGCAATGCTGATCTGATCTGTAATGCTGATCTGTATGGTTAGTATAATAATTATTTTTTAGGGATCAGAGCAGAGCCCTAAATCCAAAGCATAAGTATTTTACAAAGATATACGTTTAAAATGACTATATATACATGCAGTATGTGAATATATATATACTCTATATGGCTACATTTGATCAAAAATACAGTAAAAACAGTTTCATTGTGTATAACTGTATTCTATTTTCATATATTTTTTACATGTATTCCTGTGATCAAAGCTGAATTTTCTGCATCATTACTCCAGTCTTCAGTATCACAAGATCCTTCAGAAATCATTCTATTATGCTAAACATTTCTTATTATTAATATCAATGTTGAAAGCAGTTGCTCTGCTTAATATTTTTGTGGAAACTGTGATGTATTTTTTCATGATTCTTAATGAATAGAAAGTTTTACCAAATTCTGACGTTTATCTATGTTATTTACTGCACTAAAGCATAAAAATACCATAAAATGTTTGCAGACATGTAGGAAAAATGCTATATTCAAATTATTGCCCCCTGCCAATTTACCCAATAGTAGTTCGACACCCTGGGTTGCCAGTTCTTGGAAAACACAGTGATGGTAACCAGCAAACGAACTGGGTCTGAGATCACAAATTCTACCAGACGGGAATAAAAACATTGCAAATGTATACATTAGCGGATCAACTTATACTGTAAGACTTTCCATTGTCAATTATGCTCGTTTCTGTCAAGTGTCCTCAATATGGCGACCCGCGTAAGCGTCCAGTCTGAGGAGGTGGAGCGGGGAAAAATTTGGACTACAGAACCCAGTTCAACCGCTAGTTTTCAATATTACACCTTTAGTGCACTTTTAATCAATTTAATGTGTCCTTGCTGAATTAAAGTATTAATTAAGAAAAATAATTCTCGCTCACCCAAAGAAGCCAATCCCTGTATGCCACAGCCAGCCCCGCCCACACCCAAAGCTCGCAGGTGTGGCCAGCATCTGCCAATGGTCTGCAAGCACCTGTTACTGAAGCGTGCTGGCTGCTGACTGCACAAAGACAATTTACATTTGAAATTATTTACATTAAACTTTAAAAAAGAAATTCTAATGCCAAATACTTAAATGAAATACTCAAAAAATGAAAGTAAATGCTGCATTTAAATGTATATCATATTTAAGCTATCAAGCCATGTAGAACAACTACTTGTAACAAAAATCTACAAATTTCTTTGAAACAAATTACGGTGCATTTCGATCTTACCATGGATGCAAAGGCGCCACCTGTAGTGAGATGATGTCTCTGCAACCAGCTCCTAATGCCCAGATAACCTCCTGTCCAACAGGGTCAGTCGCACTCCTAAAACATCAGCAATATCTGAGTTTTTTTCTCTCTGCCTATGCAAAGCCTGTTTTGACCTGCCAACAGGAACTAAGCAACCAAATACATTAATTAACATGTTTATTTCTACTCTTGCCTGCACTGCCCTTTGGAGATAATTATAAAAGCTTTCTGGCTAATATATGTATGAATTTTATTGGCTCGAAGTCAAAACCACGAAAGTACGGGGAGAAAAAAATATGAGATGCACGGAAAATTTCGATTTCAATGCATTTATGTTTGCTCACAAAACTACGGTGTTCCTCGAGAAACTCCGCATTCACCCACAAAACTTCTGTGATGGAAATAATATGAGGTGGGAGGAAAAGCTATATTTCAGTGCTTCTGCAAGTGAGAGAATACAAATGCTTTGCAAGTGAACACTATTTTTTTTGTGAGCAAATGCAAAAGTTTGTTGGAGGAACGCAATACTTTTGCGAGAGAACCCAAACATTTTGTGAGCAAATTGAAATACCATTTTTCCTCCCATCTCATATTTTTGTCCTATCACCATGTCCCCCCATGTACTTTTGTGGTTTTGACTGTGTGTGTGCTTATAAAAGTCGTACATATGTTAGCCAGAAAACTTTTTTAATTATCTCCAAGGGCAGTACAGGTCAGAGTAAAAATAAACATGTTAATTCATGTATTTGGTTGCTTAGTTCAAGAACACAAAAGCATTGAAATATAATTGTTCCTCCCATCTATTTGTTTTAAGATCACCATATCCCTTTAGGGGTTCTGTACAAAAGTGAGTATCGTATAAGAGAAAACTCATTGTTGTGACCTTATGCCCTTAGTTAAGCTCAATTATATGCAAGTGAAGTCTACAGGTCATTGCAAAATAAAAGAATTTTTGCATCCTTAATACATCATCCAATTAACGACAGCCATGATATGATTATGCTGATTACTGAATAACTATAATAACAATAGACTCTAATGAATAACAAAATAAATATTTGAATTTTTCATTACAGGTGGGCCTATGTAGTAAATGTGTCTCCTATGTACAGTGGTCATTTATACAGTTAAATTTGTACACTAAAAGGATATGTGGTGGTATACTAAACAGTGCTCCCTTGTGGACCAACCTGTATGTGACAGCCTGTAGTGCCCTGCAATAACAGCTCGCCAACCACAGAGAGCGATCAGTCAACAGATTTGGACAATGAGACACCTTCAGGATGAGCAGATTACTGCCGGTAGCTTTCAACAAAGCCTCCAAACCCTCCTCAAGACAGCCACTAAACAAAAAAGAAAGAATCTATTAATACTTCAGTTCATGACTACAGTCACCAGACGTCCTAATAAAGTTAAGACAGTCCTGATTTTATTATCCTGGGGTGCCATTTGCCGCAATAATTATTATTATCTTTCATTTGACGGCTGTTAACAAATGTTTTATGAATGGTTTGTCTCGTATAGGATATTTTAACATCAAAAACAGTCTTCCTGCTTTACATTAGCTGATCAACTTATACTGCAAGACTTTCCATTGTCAATTACGCTCGTTTCTGTCAAGTGTCCTCAATCTGGCGACCCGCGTGAGCGGATGAGGAGCAAATGAAAATTCTGTCATTATTTACTCCCCCTCATGTCATTACAAACCCGCAAAACTTTAGTTCATCTTCAGAACACTAATGAAGATATTTGAATTAATTCTGAGAGATTTCTGTCCCTCCATTGCCAGTCTACACAACTACCACTTTGACGCTTCAAAAAGTTCATAAAGAGATCGTAAAACTAATCCATATAAACTGAGGGGTTTAGTCCAAATTTTCTGATGAGACACAATCGCTTTACATGATTTAAGCTTTTATTCAAATATTAACATTGATCAGCGAATATAAACAGAAGGTCTCTCAGATTTCATTCAAATATCTTTATTTGTGTTCCAAAGATGAACGAAAATCAGGTTAAGGGTTACGAAAGACGGGTTTGAAAGGACATGAGGGTGAGTAAATAATGACACTTATGACAGAATTTCCATTTTTTGGGTGAACTAACCCTTTCAATCCACCAAATATTCAAATTCGGACGATTTTCTTTCATGAGGTTTTCGACTGGCACTCTGGTTGAGGTGGTTTAGCAGAACAATTAACAGGCAGCTCATTCTGTTCCCTTCTCACGCTGGATCTCTGAACAAGCACTTCACAAGTGTCAGACTGTGTGAGCGAGTGAGTGTGTATCTGTTTGGTGTGAAAGAGTGATGAGAGGATCAGGGAAGAGTGCAGAAGGTAATAAAGAGGAGGTGTGGAGCTGTGGGAAGGCAGTAGCCACACAAACAGCAGGGTCAGTATGGTACAGTAAACAGCAGGCGCAGAGGGAGACCGTGTTACCGTGTGCTCTTCAGATATTCCTCCTTTGTTTCCTTTTTCCCCCTCTGCCGGGGTTTGAGGTTCTGGAGGATGAGGGAATGCGTCTGTGTGCACCACTGAGACACAGTGCACAAGAACTAAACAAACATAGTGAGAGACAAGAGTTAGAGAGCTTGGCCTTTTTCAGGACTTTCAGCAGTCACAAAATACGTGGGCAGCAGATCATTTATGCTACGCTGTTATACATCACATTCAAGGTGCACATCACATCGGCGTATACGACAGCGTGTTCCAGGTCCTGCCAATATCCAGCAACTTCGCACAGCCATTGAAGAGGAGTGGAACAACATTCCACAGGCCACAATCAACAACGTTTTTTTTTATACAGTAAAACTGCACATTTTAGAGTGGCCTTTTATTGTGGCTAGCCTAAGGCACACCTGTGCAATAATCATGCTGTCTAATCAGCATCTTGATATGCCACACCTGTGAGGTGGATGGATTATCTAGGCAAATGAGAAGTGCTCACTTACACAGATTTAGACAGATTTGTGAACAATATTTGAGAGAAATAGGCCTTTTATGTACATAGAAAAAGTCTTCGATTATGAAAAATGGGGGCAAAAACTAAAGTTTTGCGTTTTAATTTTGTTCAGTGTATATAAAGATGAATATTTTTAGCTAAATGTGTAAAAAAAACTATTTATAGATTTTCTATTAAATCTATAAAAAAAAATTCCCTGTGCCCCTAATATCTTTCTATACTATTAAATATTTTTTTAATATTCCTTTTACAAAAAAGCCAGTTCCTTAATGACATTCCTGAATTAACTTCACATGGAAACCCTTGCGTCAGCTAACTCTCAATCCTTTACTGAGCAATGGCCATCTATAGTTCTTTTCTTCCTTTAAAACTTTACTTTTTTAACTAAAATACAGCACAACCATATTATTATTTTTATTTAGTTAACAATTAGTTCAAAATGTACTGCTGTATTTTAGGAAGGACCCTTTTACTTTGAAGTTGTTAGTCTACTGATGGCTTAATCCAAAAGCATTTCTGCAAAATAGATTAAGTTATTTTAACAATAATGTCTTAAACATTTAAGACAGACTTACCATTAGCTCCAAGGTTATTATAAGTAATAATATAACATACATTTTTCACAAGAAGTTTAGGAATTAAATGCATGTTTTAATGCCATGTAATAGTGTTAGAGCATAATATACAGAAGAAGAAAAACAACATTGAAAAAGGGAAATCTAGACAGATTTCATTTCAACATTCACAGTGAAAATTAATTAATAGTTCATTCATTCATTAGCAGTTGATCAATTTGAATCCAATTCCATTATAATGCTGTAATGTTGTCAGAGCTGATTGGTTTGGCTCAAGGCTTAGATATCTTTATTGAAGAATTTTCTGAAATGGCCACAAAGAAAATAAATAAGAAATATATACTTTATATATTATATATTCAGGCTCCTAAAAAAAGTGGGCGGTCAGTGCCCAAATGTAACAGGAGCACTACTGTAAGCATGTTAGTGTGAATGGTGTTAAAAACCTTTGAGGAGATGCGAGCGTTCTCCAGCAGAACTCTGGTCCAAACCGCTGGGTGACGAGCCACAAACTTCCAATCCCGGCACACCTCGGCCGCCCGCAGGAGTGTCTTCGTATCCAGGTAGGTAAAGATACAGAAGAGAGCGGCACGCATCTTCAGCACCTCAGGACTGATCACCTCGTTGAATTTAGAGGGGCTTTTCTCATGGCGGCAATGCTTGTATCCCCCTTCAGAACGACCTGGTGACAGGAAGAATAAGAGATCAAGGAAGACTTGCTTGACAGCTGTAGTCACCATTCAGCTTCCCTGCATATAAAGAGCAGACATTTAGCAATTAGAAAATCACATGGTTTTCATAACACATAAGAATAGGAAAAATATATATATATTTTTTCATTTTGGGGTGAATTTAACTGGCTCCATGTATGTCCATATGGTGGCGCCACAGTCAAATAAAAAGGACAGTTATGAGCCTCTGTTCACTTGTCTCAATGCCTCCCACAGGTTCTGAACATCTTCCAAAATCATACCATCAGCAGGCCATTTCTATCTCACAGCTCCAGTTCGACAGACTCAGGTCTCCTGAGTCATCCACAATTTATTGAAAATCTAACGAGATTGAGATTGAAGAAACGGGTTTTGGCAGCTTTCGCCTACATGTTTAAGACACTCGGAATCTATAAAGCAAAAATCTGCCAGAAGTTCTGACTCAAAGAGGCTCTCAAATCTAATGGTGCTAACAGAATGGAGCTTGACCTTCTCCTGGCCGTGGCATGGGTTTGATGTGTACTGAATGCATACAGTTAAATACAAAGGCTAGCAATGGAGGATTCTCTTGGGATAAACTAACCATGACTGCTGGTCCAAAACCCAAACATCAACTAGCAGTAAGATGGGAAAAGATGACTCTGGATCAGTGGATGCAGGCAAGTTCATCCCACATTGTTTGCTGCAGAGAAAAATGTCTTGATTTCTGAAATTATTACAGTTTTTAATTTTTAATTAACAAAATGAATAACATAGAGTTAGTGGAATAAAGGGTACTACATTATATTAGTATTTAAAATGTGTTCATCTAAATGTGTAAAAAAGAAGAAGAAATAATCCATTAAATAATACAAATATAAAATAATAATTAAAGCTGCAAGCAGCATTTAGCGGTGTTCAAGCAGTTAAGGCCTTTAAGGCCGTTAAGCACAAAAGCATCAAAAGACATTAAGTTTTATTAAGCATACATTTAACCACTGACATAATAGATGGAAAACACCATTTAAAGCCAATACAGGCAATTTACCATAGGAAATATATAGTTTTAAAGCTTTTTAACAGTTATAGCGCCACCTATGGTCCAATCTCCATAAAACTTTGCATGCTTGTTAATGATGTTATGTCACATATGCTCATCAATTTTTGTCAAGTTCTGAGTTTTCATTTATGATTTATAGGCTTTTGAGTGTATTTTGACACGCCCCTTTTCTAAATGACCCTGTTACAGTGAACCAAAGGGCAAAGTTCAACTTTTTTTTGATAATTATTGATCTAGAGAGTCCAGAGAATTGTCCTAGACTGGTCTGGTTTTGATCGGGCGAAAAACCAGGGACTAGTTCGCAAAAGTAGGTTTTTAACATATTCGTGAATATTTAATGAACAATTTGATTGACAGCAATGATTCTAGAGGCAAAGTTGTTCACCATGAGGAGATCTATCAAATGATATGCATTTTGGGGGGATGTGTACAACACCACGTGATTACAGAGCCGTAAAACTCGTTAGCGCCAACTAGTGGGCGATTTCTTTCAAAACTCTTACAGACCTCTTAGGCCATGAGTCGAACATGCCCATCGAGTTTCGTTCCGATTGGCCTCTGTTAACCTCGTCTCAAATTCATTGGTCAATGGCGGCCATGTTTTTTGAGATACGTCAATGTCCTCATAGACATACATGGGGCCTTGGACCAAGACACTGCATACCAATTTTCAAGTCAATCGAACTAACGGTCAGTCCTTTATATGTTTTTTTCATGTTATAGCGCCACCTAGTGTTCGATCATCGCGATTTTTTTACTGTGACCTCAGATTGAACTCATGCACACGTGTACCAAGTTTGGTGAGCCTATCTAATTTACTTCTGGAGTTATAGCCATTTTAGAAAAATAGGCTCCTCCCACAACGTTATTTTTGCGCCCCCTAGCGACCGGAAATCGAAATTTCAACTTTTTTTCGATTATAATTTATGTTCAGACTCCACAGAACATTTGTGCACTGGTTTGGTTCCGATCGGGCAAAAAATCAGGGACTAGTTTGCAAAAGTCGTTTTTTGACAAAATTCAAAATGGCGGAAAATTTATCATGACGCAAATGAAATCGGAGATATACGTTTTTTAAGTCAGGAGTCCAGCTTTCCAATGATATAAGACACTTGAGTCTACGACTTACGGTCTAGGAGTTATGAGCAGTTTTGCGCAATTGGTTGCTATAGCGCCACCTATAGGCCAATCGGGCTCATAATTTGATAAGCTCTCCTCGATTTTTGTACTACCATCTGACAAAGTTTCAAGTCTCTAGCATTTACGGTTTGGGCTGCACGATGCGTTTTACGGCGGAAGAATAATAATAAAAATTAAAGCTGCAAGCAGCATTTAGCGGTGTTCAAGCAGTTAAGGCCTTTAACGCCGTTGAGCACAAAAGCATTAGAAGACATTAAGTTGTATGTAGCAAGCATTTAACCACTGAGATCATAGATAGAATAGACCATGTTTTAGCATGATTTACCATGATATACCCCATTTCAGTGTGATTTTTCATTATTTACAATGTTCCAGTATGATTTACCATGAATCTAGCATGATTTACCATAGTTTACCATGATATACCAAGTTCTAGTATGATTCACCATGATTTATCCTGTTCTAGCATGATTTACCACAATTGAACGTATTCTAGTATGATTTAATATGATTCTAGCATGATTTACCATGTTATAGGATGATTTACCATGATATACCACATTCTAGAATGATTTACCGCAGGATTGTAGCATGATTTGCCATGATACACCATGTAATAGTATTGTTTACAATGATTTACCATGTTTCTATCGTGATTTACCATGAGGCACCATATTGCTGCATTAATGTGAAGTGTCAATAAAAATGAAGTGATAAACTTTGACAAAATATGATTGTGTTATAATAGTTAACATGGAAAAACTGGTTTGCTTTAGTGCAGAATACTGGTGAAAATCAAGTGTGTCAAAATGAAAGTGAGCCAATAAGTGGTCTTCTACTGCCCTCTGCTGGTCACTCTACTTATTAATAAAGTGTTTTCACAAGTGCTTTTGCATTCATATGCAGACATGTGCTTACACACACACACACACACACATGGGATATGTTATTGTGAAAATCTCTTTTAATGGTGTATAAGCATGCATTTCACATATTTCTTTGTGATGTAATAATATAAAACTATATTAAAACTAATAAAAAAATAGCTTTAAGCGTTTGTTTGTTAGCCAATGCTGAAAGCTGATAAAAAAGATTAAAAATGTCGGTAACACTTTACAATAAGGTTCATTTATTAAACATTAGTTAATGTATTAATTAACATGAACTAACCATGAGCAATACATTTGTTACTGTTTTTGTTCATCTTTGTTAACACTAGAACGGCCACGACGGTCATTTTGACCGTTTTGAATTTTATATCTGCAATAACTTTGTTGAAAAAAAAAAAAAATCCTGCTGGTACCTGACTTTTCCTAAAAGTGTCTGTATTTTCATTTAAAATGTTTTTAATATAAATTACACATAAGGCAAACAAACAAATTAACATATTTACCTATTTCGGCCATAGACGGTCATATTGACCGCACTGAATTTTGCGGTATTCTTTTGTTACATTTCTCGCGGTTGACCTTTGTCTATTAGGAAATAATCAGAAGATTCAATTGCAAAATGACAGATATGTTTATTGAGAGCTGGTCAGATGCTGGGAGAGTTAAGGTGTGCAAATGTCCGGTATGAAGCCCTTGGCAGCACAGGGACACTGGAGTGAGTGCTGAACCAGGAGTGCTGAACACGGGATGACACACGGAAAACGGATACAGGCAGGGAACAAACACGCAGGAAAAATCCACAACGATCTGACAAAGGGCCTTTCTCAATCTGTGTTCTTGTCTGTACTTGTGTCCTTGTGTTCTTGTGAAACGTCATCTTTTGTGGCCCAAGTACTGTCCCAATACACAAGTTTGCATTTTGGCAAGAACAGTTAAAAATCCCGGATGTGTTCTTGACACGCCCATTTTACCGAGGATGCATCGGCTGGTAACTTGTGTGAACTTGACGGGAGAAATATCCCAGCATTCAATTCGGCATTCGAGGAAGGAGAGGCAGGTCAATACAGTATTTCGTTTTTCTACAATTACGTACACTATTTCATCACTAAATTCACTTCTGAGAACATTTGATGCGAGAAATCAACTGTGTAGATTTCAAATATTGGCATTTTACGAAAATGTATGGCTAATCGAAAATGTGCTCAAACGTTTTCGGAAGTGAGAATCTCCATAAGCGCCTGCGGGTGTAACGTTAGCTATCGAGCCAACCGGCCAGTTTGCTCACAGACTCGTTTTTCCCCACAGCCAAGAGACCATTGCAGCCTGGCTGTTATCGTCAATAATTCTCGTTATGTTTGGGTACTGCAGACGGCGTCTGTGCGGGGGTATTATTGCGCAATACCAGCAAGAACACATCGTCTCAAACTGTCAGCAGCGTTCTGTGTGCTCGTCACCTTGTGAGTTCATTCTTCCAAGAACAACTAGCAAGAGCGTTCTCCCCAAGAACACAAGTCTGTTCTTTGCATTCTTGGTTTTGAGAAACACCCTAGGCGAGAACAGTAACACTGAAAAGGGTCGAATCGCTGATCAGTTGCAGCTGGCGCCTTGATCAGAGCGCACGTGCTGATCAGCTGCATTGATCAGCGACCACGCACACACACACACAACAAGACGAGAAAGGAGACAGCGAATTCATAAACCGTGACATTGTCTCTCTCACTGTCAAAAGAATATCTATATAAGATACTTTTAGTTGTTATTATCTTGTTCTGAGTTATGTTGAAGGGATATGGAAATATAGCTCTGTTGTGAATAGGCCCTATGCGATAATTACGGGCTACTGATATTATTATTTATAAATGTATAATTAAACTTTTTTAAATGTACAGTTTGGTGTTGTTTT